CATTATCAAATGAGAAATGTTGCCAGTGGAGATTCCAGACTGGGCAGAGAACAGAGATATCTATACTCACCCAATTCTTGGTTCAGTAGAAGCAATGATTCAGATTCTTTAGCAGAGGGATGATTTTTTAAAAAATACGAAATTTGGAGAAATAGCTCAAAGGGTGTAACTCATGAACAACCCACTTCATTTACCTGCTACATCTCTGGTGGACTCTTCTTTATCAAATGCTTTTAAGAGAAGGGCCTCTGGAAAGCCAATAGTAAAGAGCTACATGACCACTTTAACCCAGAGTGGCTCTAGAGTGACTGCAGCGGCCTGAATCTTTGGCCATGAGTCCCCAGTCCCCAAGTGTAGGCTGAATGGTTCAAGAATGAGTTGTGAACTTTGCCCTCAACCATAGATGACATAGAAGTCACATGACAAATGGCATCTTCCACTGATGCAATAACTTTCAGTAGATGAGCCACCAACCATTTAGCTATGGCTTAAATAAGTTTAATTGTGCCTTCAGTAAGTCATATTTTACTTGGAATCATTAGTGAAGAGTACAAGAACACTTATTTTGTAATGTACCAACATCTAAGTAAACCAACTCTACAAGAAGGCCTTGGAAGAAGCTCTTGCAGTTTTGGTAGGTAAGGCTTCCCCTATTGCAAAGGCTGAGAGACTTAAACTCACATCTATTTCTCTTCAAAAGGATTAGGTCAACAGGAATTTATGTTGAAGTTGTCTTAGAGGTAGGCATCAGAAAATTACTGAAAGCTGAAACTGGGAGTTTTAAAGACCTGAATTCATTGCCAGCTCCATCATTTTCTACATGACCCTGTGAATGTTATTTAATTCCATAAGCCTTAGTTTTTAAATTTTCATTTGATCATCCAGTAAATGAATATGCACTCTGGTGTACAATTATGTTATAACTTGGATATACTATGCATAAGAAGGGACTTTGCCCCTGAACTCACTCTTTCAGCAAACTCTACTTGACCTAACTTAGACTTCTCTGAGTCCTGTTCTTAACTAGGCCTGGACCTTAGCATCAACACTAACACCTCCCTACCACTTCACATCTTTGGCTGGCCCAATCCAGTCTTAGCATAAACCTTGCTAAGTCATCCCCCTACCAGTGATACATAATATCCCTTGATAGCTGATCAAGTTCTTCATCCCCCGACTCTAGAGTTTAAGTCCTTGATCTGCCTTTCACAATTGTCTTGTTAATCCAGTTTAGTAAAAATCTTCCTGTCCTTGATATTACTTGTTAGTAATCCCCGCCCCCCCCCCATACTGGTCATTTCACTCTAGTCTTGGTTATAAATTCCCACTTGTGTTTGTCTTATTCACCATTGAACCCAATCTCTTTCCCCTACTGCAATTTCCCATTGCTTCCTTACTGCTTTAACAAGTATTCGATAATTTCTCTTAAATAAACTTAAAGAATAAAATTAATGATGGAACCATCATCATAAGTACATTTTAAATGAACTTATGTATGTGAAGCACTTACCTTTATAGGATCAGACACAAATAAGCTTTTGATAAATGTTAAGAGCAAATGGAATAATCTATTTGTTCGTTAATTAAAGATTAATCATCATAACTCACTTTATTCTAATATGTATTGGCTTTTGAATGTAGTCTTTCTGATCAAATCACTGAGGCCACCAGCGATGGTGAAGCCAACTGTTAAGAGAGTCAGATATGAACATACACCTGTGTGCTTCATTAACCACCAAAGTAAAATGGTAGCTCACAGTTGCAACATATTTATAAAGAGTACAACATATTTATAAAGAGGCATTTTGAGCCTGTCATTGAAGTAAGACCCAGAGACAATAAAAAGTTAGGTTGATAGCTATAAAAATTGAGGGCTGAGTCCACTGTTGGCTCAGATTCTTTTGTATGAAATAGTGTAAATGTGGATGAATGTTAGAGATTTCTATTTCAAGGTTTTAGTTCAAAAAGGGAATTGGGAGTTGACTTGAGGGGAATGAGCATTAGACTATAGAAGGAGCTCTGTGTAAAATGGAAATTGGGCTTTAGAGATGAGGTAACATTGGGTATATGTTAAATTGGAATGTAGATGTTGTAGTAAAAATCTGGAAAACAAGCTTCAGGTAGGCCTAAGTATTTGGCTGTGTAATAATATATATGGTAAACACTTTGCATGTTTCTTCAACACTCTTAATGTTGACACAAACATCTAGTCATATAATATTCCTGTGCAATATATGCTATGTAATGTAATGTAGTATAGTATAATAAGTATAGCATTTCCCCAAGGGTGTATGCAAACATGTGTGACAGCTTGCCATTTGCTGTAGGATATGGAGGTGGAAATTTTTGAAAGAATAAAAGACATTTTTGGGGCCTTCCCTGGTAGCACAGCGGGTTAAAGCACAGAAGTTTAAGCCACTTCCGCATGAGTTTGATTCCCACCTGCCCTGGAGGAGATCCACATGGCACGGCAGACCTCTCCCGACCTGCCCACTGCTCCCCTTTCAGTGTACTTCATCGGTCTGCCTGTTCTGCTCCCCACTCTGTCTCTGGTGAACCTTCTCACCCTCCGCATCTCTGTATGAATAAATAAATAAATCTTAAAAAAAAAAAACACTTATGGGGCTAGGGAAAATGAGAAGATGGTAATAAATTTTAGGAGAAAATAGGAAAAATTAGAAGACCAATAAAAAGTCATAGGAAACATGTGAGGAAGAGAGCAAGAAAAGAGAAAGGAAGACAATCTGGTAACTAGAAAAAAAGAAGAGAGAACCAAAAGGGGAAAGAAAAGAGTGAACCTTTATTTTTTCCCCCAACACTCATCATTTCTGGGCCAATATGTCTGCTCTTTTGTGCACTTGTACACTCTCTCTTCACATCTATGTCTGGTTTGAGAAGGTGTATCAGAAAGCCCAAAGACTGAGAAAGCTTAGGTTACTGGGTGGCTTACTATGATTAGCAAATGGACTAAAGGTTTGTGAGTGGAATGTTTGGTTTTTTAATATAATTAAATTTATTTATTTTCTTAGTTCATTTTTGTACAGTATTTTATTTCTCCTCTGAGATGTAGCCCCCATAGTTCTCCCACCACCATAATACCCATGAGCCATCACTAAAGTCCCTTGTGTTGAGCTGAACATTAATCATCAATTTGAGTGAAGCACTTTGAGCTGGCTAGATATATGGAGTAACTGTGTATTAACATTAGGATTAGGGAGCTGGAAGCCAACTTTCCTGGCTCAGTAGTTATTAACATGAAATTATAGAGCTGAGTTAAGTTTGAAGCAGCGTTTTCCAAGTGTTTGCTACTCCCTGAGTAGGTGCATCCAACATTCTTGTGACAACAGACTGGTGGGAAGCATCTAGGAGAGAGAGAGTCTTTACCATGGTCAGAAAGTGAATTATCCAAATAGGGTCTCCATTGCAGGTAAAACCTGCAAATTTTTGCCAAAATTATTGCTCTTATGACTTTTTTTCTTTAAAGATTTATTTATTTATGCATATAGAACTGGGGTACAGGCCAGAGGTGCAGGGGGTGAGAAGATTCACCAGAGACAGAGTGGGAAGCAGAACAGGTGGACTGGAAGAAATACACTGCTGAGGGGAGCGGTGGGCGAGGCAGGAGAGGTCTGCTGTTGCATGTGGGTCACCTCTTTGGCCAGGGATCCAACTTGCACTGAAGTGGCTGCAGCTAGATTGCAGTGCTGCGCTTTAACCAGCTGCACCAACAGGAAGGGCGGCTCTTAGGACTTTTAAAATCCTAAGATTAAGCTAGGTGGTTAAGATATTCAGAAAGCTCACTGGTAAATTTTGACTATATTTACCATAAAATTATAAATACAGCATTTATTTTTTAAATAACGTATAGTTATGAAAAGATGTCATTTCTAAAAAACCTTATGGTAAATGTTAGCGATGTTGTACATATTTTGCTTCTTATTTTCCACTTAAAACAGGTTTCAATCTTTTAAAGTTACTAGTTAGATAGTAATTCCATACTTTTTAAAATAATCGTTCTTTCACTTGATACTTAGAGTTGAACAAAGAAATGTTAGAAATTAGTTGTACTTTTTAGTATAATAAAAATACTACTTGGCATATTTTATATTTGTACATTAGTTTATTAAGGAGAAAAGACTAATGGATCTGTTTATGAAGAATGAAAAACTGTTTCCTTAGGGAATTAAAGGAAAACTATTGGTCAATTTGATAAAGTTAAGCAGCTTATCAGTATCCGGATTGTTTGTTTGCTGCTAAATGATATTTTTGCTTAACAAAATTGTGATCTTTTGACTAACCCTTTTAACTTTACGATAAAGCTGTGCTCTCTTGCAGAATCCAGAAATTTTGTGTGAGAGAGAAACAGTAGAAAGAAACAGGTGTTATTTGTTAATATTTTCTTGGTAAACTGTAATGTCTCTTGAAGGTATGGAAGACACATTTTAGAGAGGATCTGAAGCAATGTATGTAGTAGTCAGCCCCTAGGGTATTCTGTTGTGATGAAATCTGGAGCGACAGAAGAGAAATAATGGAGTATTATGACAAAATAGGTAGCAGCATCTTTCCTCTGGGATGACTTGTTGCATGAAGGAGGTTCCCTTTCAAAGAGTTACAGAAAAAATCCTACCAGTCTGGTCCATTAAGTTGTACCCCATCGTAGTTATTGATTTGGGGAAGACTTCTGGAGAGGGTGTGGTGTTCACAGGTGTGTATGCATATGCACATATATGGATATTTGTGTGTGTGCCTGTGTGGGTATTTGTGTGTGTCCACATTTGTGGGTATAGCTGTATTTGTGTATACATGTGAATATTTGTATGTGTATATGGACATGTGTAGATGTGTGTATGTGTGTATCTGCATGTTTCTTGAATCCCACTTGGGATTCCTTATACAAAATTTTCTCTTAAACAAGACACTGTTTCCTTTAAAACTGAGATATAGTCTCTGATCTAAGAAATGAAGCCAAATAGAAGTAAAGATAAACTCTCTGAGGAAAATCTTTTATTGAGGTGCAAAAAGAAGTTAATCAGTGAGGCATGAGTTTGGGCACAAAAATTTTCTCTGCTCAACAAAGAGGATGGTTCTCTCCATCCAGAGCTTCAGCCAAGTTGAGGTGAGCTTGGTGATGAAGATGGTGCTGAGCCCACAGAAGAGTTAACATTTCCCTTCATGAAGCAGCTGAACCTTCCCGTCACTTTTCCTGTGGGGAGACACAGTTAGCAAGATTCAAGAACAGAAAAGGACATTTCATAGACTGATAGGAGCTACAGAGACTATGAGGCAGGACCTCATTTTACAGATACAGAAATTGACCTCCCCAAATGGTAGGTCCCTGTCTCAGCAATTTTTAATAGAGACAGTAGTATACTTTCCTGTCCAGTGATACTCCTCACCCTCTTGGTGCTTCCACTGATACCAAAGCCTGTACTGATCACCCATAGTCTTCAAACAGCAAAGAAGGAGGGTTTCTGACCAGGGGAGTTGAAGTGGCTAGGCCTTGAGCTCTGCTTGTGCAGGAGAACCTGCAATGGGGCTCTGCTCTAGGGATTGATGCTGCTTAAGGAGAACTTCTACCACAGGACCCCTTTACTGTCCTTGAACAGCAACTAGGTCAAATTTCACATGTATGAGCATGTAAAATAAACTTTCCATTTGTGAAATAAAGCTTCCTAGGTGGGAGTGAATATGTAGGCATATCTTTCAGAGCTTTGGGCCTAGTCTGATATTTCTAACTTGCAAAGGTAATTAGAGAAATGAAAAGCCCAAGATCTGAGGGCAGTGGCCTAAAAGAGAATTATCGATATGAATGTGAATTTGGTGTAAGAAAGGAAGTGCCAAATTGCCAGTCCTGCACCAAAGAAGTGACATCCATCTACTTGAAGTGTCTTCAAACACACTGGGGGCCAAACAATATACTTCAGTGAAACATGACCATGGAATATTGGCCTGGGAATTGAAAGCTTGTATCTGCCTCTTTTAGGTAAAAGTAAAAAACGTGGGGTAACCTTTTCCCTATTATTGCCCTAAGATTGCAGATATATAAAACCACTAAGAGACTGAGAAAAGTAAAAAGCTTCTAGCCACAGTTGGTCCAAGAATCAAACTGTGTGATTGCCACTAAGTCTCTTAGAAGTCACACAACATAGTAGTTTTTCACTTGTATTTATCATGAAATTCAGGAACCTTCCTTTAAACAAAACATTGTTTAGAATTCCACTTAAAAAAATCAAAAGTTGACGTTGGGATGGAAGACCCCTCAAATGATTGTTTTAAACCTTTTGGCCACTCCTGACTTGCCTTGACAGAGCTCTGGGTCTAGCAGTTTTAAAGAGTGTGTCTCATTGCACTCCCTCAATTGACAGACAAGAATTGGGGGTTCTGTGATGGAAGACCAGTCCAAGCTGGCAAAGCATCTGGCCCAACCTTCCTCTCACTGTGAGGAAATCAGTTTTCCATCTCTTCCAACTGTGTCTGAGACTAGGTTCAGCTTATGGAGGCTCAGCTTAGGCAGGCTCACTCATGACAGAGAAGTTTTGCAGGAAGGACACTGGACCCAATTCTTATTCCTTCTCAAGAGCTACTCACAGGTTCTCAATACACAAGTGGCACTCATTCCCATAGGTGATGTAGTCGGAGCCACACACTGGCATGTATGTGATGGGGCAAGGGATGGCTACCACTGGGTACTTCTTATAGATGCTGCAATCCACCTGTGAAAGACAAAAGAATGTTCCCCTTTCTCTTGCCCTTTCATGCTCAGCTACCATGACCTCTTGGCAAAAGTATTCACTCAAATCTTCCCATGCTGCTGTGGCCACTTCTATTAATAATGTTACCTCAACAAATGCTAGTGTTAGTAATACAAGTCCCACTAGTATGATAATCTAGTATAATGTCTATGCCAGGCATTGAAATTCAATCTTGCATCATTTTTCTTTATTCTTCAGAACAATGTATAGGGCAGGTTCTTCTAGTGCCTCTATTTACAGAAGGGGAAATTAAGGCTTAAAAGAGCCAATTTATACAACAGAAAAGCTAGTAAGGGACTGAGATTTGAACTCTGAGCCTATGCAAGTCAGTAGTTGACTTTGGCCTTCCTCACCTATATTGTCCTTTCCACGAAGACATCACCGCCTCTTGATGAAAGTCATTTCTCTCTCCTTTTCATGCTCAAATTTTTTAAGCTATGGTTATTTAATTATATGTTATATTTCTCTAACTGGCGTTCATAAAACAGATGCAATTTCTCTGTCTGTGTCTCCCTCTCTCTTTTAGCCCCACTCAAACATACTATTTTAATCCTACATAGCTATATTTACAAGTAGTTATTAATTATCACTCACTAGGAATTGAAATTAAAATAAATTCAGTATACTCACTGTTTTTAAAGGTAGACTAGCAACTTCTGAAAGAGAGATACAGAGGGAAATATTAAAAATGTAGCCAAGTCTTGAAATTTTATTAAGTAAAATTTCTGTAAATTCAGTCCTATAAAGTATGACTGTGCCACCTCCATCACTGAGTCTACACATACACCCCATCATTAGACAAAATGCCAGCGTTTGCTGAGAATGTCAAATGGGTGGGTTGAACCCACAGTTCAGGTAAGTGAGTTATCCAGATTTCCTCTTTATTGACCACAGGATGGGCTCTGAAGCTTATCATGTCTTTGACAATAGTTCAAAGTCAGAGCTCAACAGGACATTTTACAGTCACAATGTCTACAATCCTGATGCACCACATCTGATATTCTGTTCCTCCTCACTCATACAAAGGAATGGAATGGGATGCCTTCAAAATTTTATCATCTTAGTTAAGTAATTTTCTACTTTATAAGAGACTAATTGTTGAATTCTGTCATTTGGAAAATTATGTTTTATTTTGATCCGCCTGGACTGATTTGGAAAGACATCAGGTTTTTCTGCATCTTTATAAGGAGGAATAGTAACTAGTAGCACTGACAACTTCCGGTATCCTTATGAAATGGTAGACTTAAGAAGAAATGAGTTTATTTTTTTCTCCATGAATGGAAATAAAAATTTTTTGAAAAGGTCATTACTAGACTGAAGTGCTTCCAAACCAGTGGGACATGCTGTCTCCCTCCCTAGGTCATAGACCTGGCTTCCATCACAGACCAGAACACTGTAAACTCACAAGCTCAGATATTTCTCTCAAATTCTCACATCACAGGGAAAGTTTTTCTGTGGGAAAATAACTTTATTGGCTGGACAGGACACTGCCTGTTCTGAACTTACCTGAGCTGCTGCAGAAATGTGCCATGGTGCAGAGCAGAAGGAGGCTGCCGATGAACTTCATGGTGGAGATGGCTGGAGTACACAGGCTGCTCAGGACAGTCACAGCGGATATGCCCTAGAAAAGGGACACATTTATATGGCAGTGTCTGGTCTCTCCGCCTTCCCTGTGAGCTCATCCACAGGCTCAAAAAGCACAAAGTCACACCCTGGGCGGTGTTGCCATCCTTGCCACGTTCTTGCCATTGTTCTTCTTTGATCAACAAGTTGATTATTTGAGGTGAGAAATACTTTTCTGTTGAAGGTGAGCCCTGTTACTTGAACTTCTAAACTTCATAAAGCAAAGAAGAAATTAGGTGTGGGTGGCTTGGCGTAGTTATGAAATAAGTGAGATTTGAATACTTCTTTAATCTCACCAAAAAACCTGGCATTAAACCCAAGTCCGAGAGTCTGTACCTGTTTATATTTTGGCTCCTAGTAATACATGGTTTTGTTTTTGAGGATAGAAGCCTTTGAAACAAACTGGGACTTACAGGAAGGAGCCGTGACTTTGGCCTACCTGAGGCTTACAGAAGGATACTTAGATTTTTCAGCTGTATGGTCTTGGGTTTACTTATATGCTGTGAGGCAGAATTGGTCAGGAAGATCTGGTTGTGCTGCGGTTACGTTTACCCTCAAGATCCCTATGACTTAAAACAATAAAAATTTATATACCATGTCTTTTCTCGCCAGCCAACTCACAGTGGGCACTGAGGTTGTTTCCTTCGCTTGGCTACAGTAAAGTGTTGCAGTGAGCATGATACACACGTATTTTTGCGAATTCACATTTTCATATTCAACTAGAACTGCTGGACCATGTGGGACATCTACTTTTTATATTTTGAAGAATTTCATGTGTTTTCTTTGAAGGCTGCACCAGTTTCCATCTCTACTAGCTAAGTGGGAAGGCTGCCTTTTTTCACCACACCTCCGCCAGCACTTACTATTTCTTGTCTTTTTGCTATAGGCTATTCTGACTGGTGTGAGGTGGTCTCTCACTCTGGTTTTGATTTGCATTTCCCTGCCATCTTCTCATATGTCAGTGGCTGTGCAGATGTGTTCTACTCAGCACTTTTTAAAAAAAGGTTAAATTTGCCCTCCCTGGTGGCACAGCAGGTTAAAGCACAGCACTGAGAAGCTTAAGCCACTTCCGCATGAGTTCGATCCCTGCCTGCCCCAGAGGTGACCACATGGCTGGCAGACCTCTGCTGATCCGCCCGCTGCTCCCCTCAACAGTGTGCTTCATTGATCTGCCTGTTCTGCTCCCCACTCTGTCTCTGGTGAAACCTCTCGCTGCCCCTGAGCCTCTGGCCTGTACCCCAGTTTTGTATGCACAAATAAATAAATCTTAAAAAAAAAAGGTGATGTATGTTTTTATTCATGTGGTATATAAAGAAACAAAGTTAACAGACAGTCTCAACAAACCCCTGGATTCTGAAGACAGAATGAAGGTAGCCAGGGTGGGACCAGATAGTCCAGGGGTGTCTGGACTGTGGTGGAGGGTTAATAGGATGTGGTGGTAGATGCAGTGGGATGCTGCTCATTAGACAAGGTGTGAACCTGTGCTCCTAAAACATGCTCTGTTATAAGTCAAGGTGCCTCAATAAAGAACAAACAAACAAGTTAGTTAACTAAACTAAATTAAAAAGATACAAATTTACTTCTTGCCCAAGATCTATGTGTATGGTGGTCAATGGTGGTGCCACATTGCCCTCAGTCAGTCCCAGCAGGCACTATTTGGAAGGTTGTTTATTGTCCATGTGAAGTGGTCACATGTTTCTGAGGATCTTCCTTTTCGGTAGTTAGATATTCCAGCCCAGAAGCAGCACCATGGCCATTTCCCTCACCGTCATATGACCTGGCCCAAATTGAAAGGTTATGGAAGACAGTTCTACATTGTCTCTTGAAAGCCAAAAGCCAAAGAACTTGCAATAGTTGGTAAACAATACAGAGACCACCCCAGAACCTTCATTTCATCCCTGTTGAGCTCTATTGCTGGCCACAGTAGAATTCATATAATGGAAGACATTTTCCTGAAAGTCTCTTTTCATAGTGCAATGTATATAGTTATATATAGTAATTATTATTGGTGTTGTTATTATTGACAAGCTAAGAGTTTTGGGGCTGACTTTAGCTTGCAAACTGTATTGTCCAAATAGCTATTGCTTGTCCGCTGGGTTTAAAGATAAAAGTATCAAAACCTGTCCTTCACTTTTTACATTTATTTTTACTTCTGAAACACAATATCAACAAAAGATGCCAAACTAATAATAATGGCTTTGCATGTTTCATCTCATACATTTGTTTGTAAAGCAGTGTAATCTAATAGTTAAGAATGAGTCCATGAATCTTATTTGAAATCTTTCTTCCAATCAATGTTGACTACATAACTGAGTATATAGGTTAAACTCTATATATGTTAGTTTCCACATCTAAAACAAAAATAATCACTCTCAGAGTAATTAGAGTGTTAAATGCATTTATACATATTTTATATTACATTATAATGTTAATTTTATATATCATATATATGTTTTCATGTTTGTGTATATGTATCAAAGCACCAAGATCATAACTAGAGTTTGATTTAAAGTCACTAGTGATATGGAATGTGATTTTATGATAGCTCTGTGAGGAAAGAATTTTTATTACTCCAATTTACCCCAATTTCAATAGTGAGTAAGTTCCAACTCACAGAATTTAAGTAATGTTACCAAAATTATGATGCCAGTGAATGGAGGTGACTGTTGTCAAGGTGAAGTGGTCGTGTGTTAAGTCATGGAAAAGACAAGTAAGTATTCTCATAAAGAGAGTTAATTATAAGTTTTATTGATTGCCATTAAAGTTTAAAGAGAATAAACACAGAGAAAAAGTGATTTTGTTTCAAGAAGTGGTATTTATGTTGTAGTTTGAAAGTGGAATTTTCACAAAAAAGACTAGGCAATAAAGTAAGTAGGATAGGATTTCACATATTTCTTTAGACATTTTAGAGGAAGTGAATGGAAGAAGCGAAGACTTCAGCAATGGCTAGGATGGATTGGATATTGTTTAAAGTGAAGCAGAAGAAGACAATGATGATATGTGGTAGAGGGTGGCTGATCCAAGTACAAAAGAAAAGTAGGAAATAAGATTAAGAGACAAGATGAGGCCCTCCCTGGTGGCGCAGCGGGTTAAAGCACAGCACTAAGAAGCTTAAGCCACTTCCCCACGAGTTCAATCCCCGCCTGCCCCGGAGGTGACCACATGGTGAGGCAGACCTCTCCTGACCCACCTGCTGCTCCCCTCAGCAGTGTACTTCGTCGATCTGCCTGTTCTGCTCCCCACTCTGTCTCTGGTGAATCCTCTCACCCTCCACATCTCTGGCCTGTACCCCAGTTTTGTATGAATAAGTAAATAAATCTTAAAAAAAGAGAGAGAGAGAGAAGATGAAACACCATTTCCTCTGACACAGGAGATGCAGAAGAATAGATGATCGTGTAGACAGGGATATTTTGAAAAGAAGAGTTATGAAGGAGAGCCCATTGAAAGGGTATCTCTGGCTGTTAAGTTTTGGGGTTGCTGTTTGCAGTAGAAGAATTGGGTTGATTGGAAACTGGAAAAGATTTGGCACAAACCCCAGTGGAGCATATCCGATAGACAACAGGAGGTATAAAAATGCTGCTAGACAAAAGTAGCCCTAGATTTGAGCAGGTCCAGTCAGTGCTATGCTGACTCCTCAAGTACATTATGGCACTGAGAGATTGGAAAAGGTGATTTTATGGATAGAGGCTGGATATATTAGAGACATGTGGCGACCCAAAAAGACTGTGTTAGGCTTGGAAGAGAGTTAGGTGGTCCGGAAGGTTCTGACAGACTATGTCAGCAATTAGGACTTTAGAGGTCAAGGTTCAGAAAAAATATGATAAGTGTGGGAAATATGAGCAATTGTTTATGAAGTTTTAGCTAACAGGTGAAGGGTCAGACTTCATTTCTCAGGGGTGGAGTTAAGATAATGCCATCAAGGTGTATTCAAAGATAAGTAGATGAAAGATGGAAAGAGACAAAGGTCTGTGCATTCGAAACTGTCAGGAAAAGTGAGGTCACGGTTCAGTTGTGGGTGGCTTTGGGTTCTGGCAGATGCTTATGGGCTGTAGATGTAATCACAAATTATACAGAGACCTGTGGGAATGAAAGATTAAGCCTGTAAAGATAAAAGTTGATCTTAAGCTTTAATTTGGGGCAGTTGCTTATTCCTGCAATGGTGGTTGGGGGGCTTCATCCATGCTAGAAGATCACTATGACCACGGTTCCACTCTGGGGAAGGAAGTATAAAACTAATACAGGGACACAAAAATGAAGTGAGAGGGAAGTTTGAGAGTATTGGGATGTCTTCCCCAGAGGAGTTAGAGGGTACCACAAGAAAGAGAAAGGAGGCCTATTGGAAGGTTAGAGCAGAGTGAGAGAGTAAGTTGAAGGAGGGTCTTAACGAAGTCAGATAGATGGGGGGTAATGGGAAAACTTGCAACATAGATGGGCAGGAGATAGACACATGTAAGAGCTAAAGGAAGGAACGATCATAATAATAATAATAAAAATAATGAATAATAATAATAATAAAACTAACCCATATTAAGCATCAACTGTGTGCTAGAACTGTGCTACACCTGCTATGTATGTGATCTTATTTAAAACTAAATAAAACCAATTTTTAGACTATAAAATCAGTTAGTGGTTACCAGAATTGAAGATGGAAAGGGGGTAGGGAAATCTAGTAAAAGGGGTCTATTGAAAGATAGAATTGGACTTTTAGTGGTAAACTTAATATGGTCTACACAGGTGTAGTTCTATAGTTGTACACACCCAAAACTTATGCAATACTATAATGCAATATTACTTCAATAAAATTAATGACAAAAGTCATTAACTTAAAAAATAAAATAAATCTTTAAATAAAGGCATTATTAGCTTACAAGGTAGATAATAGTTATCTATCCTGTTATGTAGCTGAGGCAAAAAGGACTGAGAGAAGTGGTTAGTTTAAGAATCAGTGTGTTTTAATCATGATGGTAACTGCACCTGAAGGGGGAGATC